GTCAAGGGTTCTAAACAAGCTATTGGAAGCTTGGGGTCTATTATGCAACATGGACCAAGGTCTAGTGGGATAGTTTTAAGATTGTCTTGGGGACGCAATATATTTTCCCAAGGATAATTTCTAGATGACCACTTGGTTTAGGTTCCTCGGGTTTCTCCCGGTTTCACTCGGATTGTCTTTCGGGTCAAATCTTAATGTGCAAGGTGTCCGAGGATTTAGATTTCTAGAAATAGAATTAGTCCCTATATTCTCTATGTAATTTATAAACGAATTAATTAGATAGATAATTCGACTTTTATGTTCAAGCATTAGATTGTTATTTACATGTTAGACACAAAAGAAGTATCAAAGAAGACACACAAATGCACAATGGATCAATAAAATGAGAAGTTAAGAAAACATACCGTACCAGTGGGCGGTCGACCGCCTGTCAAGTCCCCACTGGGACGTGGCAGTGGGCACGTGGTGGGCGGTCGACCTCCTGCCAAGGCCCCACTGGAATGTGACGGTGAAGAAAGAATCACTTCGGAAAAGTCCCGAGGATGCACAGATTTAAGCCCAAACAATTCTATACTCATATGAACAATAAAAGGGACTTAAATGCGTGGAAAATCTTAAGGAATCATATTATGATACTAACAAGGAACACGGGAGACATTCAACGAGATATCATAAGGATCACACACCCCATCCTCCCCCTTTTTAATTAAAGTTACGTTCCCACAATTTTCCTCCATGCAAACTTATGTAAGTACTTGTCGTGCTATTAGTAAGTTAATTGTCAAAGTAATCGGTCAATTATGATTAGGATGATTGAGCTATTATATGCCGAATACAATTACCAATTACAATTTCCAAAATACTTATCAAATAACAAATATCCAAATAACACACGTTTGATCAAATAGTTAAACAACAATATGCAATTAATTCCTTACTTGGTCTATAAACAAGTCAATTAGGAACATAAACCAGCTTTCATGTTCAGGCAAATAAACAAGTATGGTATTTAAACAAAATTTGACAGTTTATCAAGTTTTAGTATGTCAAAGTAAATTGTCAGTAATCAAACAGTGATATGCAACAAGGCAGGTAATAGTATGCAAGGATGTCTCAACTTTTAGGGCAAGCATAAAGGATGAAGAACAAGTATGTGAGAAAAAGTGATGAACTTACGATCTCACTGCGCGTCCTAAGATCCCTATATCCTAAGTTCCTAAACATCTGAAGTTTAAGCTTATCATTCTAAAGTTCAAGCCTAATGTCTTAAAGTCTTATCTTAAAGGCATTGTCTTAGGGTCGAACTTAGGCTCTAATACCAACTGTAACACCCAGAAATTTTGAAACTTTTAAATCTTATATGATAAAGGTAAATCCTCATTAAATTCCGAAAGTAAACATAAGAGTACGGGGTGCTATGCCACACCTGAGCTAGAGAACTCAGGTGCACAGGCAAACTAACTAAAATCCTCAAAGTAATGTCAGTACATAAGCACGGCACGCAGGACGAAAAAGGAAACTAGCTCTACGCTTCAAATCTCTAGCACGCTCCGGTGTTTACTCATCTGTGCCTGAAAGCCAAATATATCTGTTCAACGAGATATGCTGGTAACCCACTCCAACGCGTTGAAATACAATACAGGTAAATATATATAGATATACGAAAATCATTTTGAAGCAGGAAGATATATACTTAAGAGACTCTAGCTTTAAAACCAGGAATAGACAAAGCAAAATGGGGACAAGCACATTAATCAAGGATAATCAGTTAAGTAGAGTTAACATCATAAGGAATATGCATCTTAAGGTCACAGATTACTTTTCAATTCAAACACATCATCATTCAAGCATCATTCATATCACATAATCATTGATGGCGCCACGGGACCAATCGCATGCCCCGAACATGAGGGTTAATGCCTATAGCATTAACACGGCCCCGCAACACCTTACCTCAGTACCGTGGTATGAGGGGAGTTGATCGCAACCAACCCTTTGAGAACAGCTGACGAACTCAACGTCGGACCACGATCCGACACACCGTTGACGCACCCAGTCGGTGGACCGTGATCCCCTTTACAAGTGGGGACTTACGACCCTACACACCGTCGATGCGCACAGTCGGTGGACCATAGCGGATCAAGCCCGGCTTACCTCTGAGCTATACTCAGTCGGTGGACGAAGATCCTCGGAGACTATGGCCCTACACACCGCTGTCCCACCATTCGGTGGATCGCAGCCAGCCGTAGCCTTACACACCGCCTAATTACTCAGGTCGGTGGACTACAGCCTTCCTCGGCTTATTGGCCCTACACACCGTCCTGGCGCGTTCAGGTACGGTGGGTCATAGTACCGAGGCCCATATTTGGACTGCAGCCCAAGAAGTGTATCAATTTGGCCTTAGCCACTTTTGACCCTTAGCTCAGGAACAATCCATTGGCCTTCAGCCACTTTCGAACCTTTAGTCCGGGAACAATCCGGGAACAATCAGTAAAGATAGTACCATTATTATATGTTAATATAATTCGCTAAGAGCTAACCATAACCGGTAATTGTCAAACAAGATCAAAAGCATAAATATATATATATATATATATATATATATATATATATATATATATATATATATATATATCTAAATAAATAAATGTCCCCCCCAAATAATATAATCCAAACATGCATGCATGTTGTTTGGATTTGGTTGTTACATATATATATGTGTCAACATGTTGTGTGTTTCGTTTTCTTGTCTCAAGTTATGCAATTTCTGTGTTTTCGTTCTAAGCTATTTTTATACATATATCAACTAGGCTCGTGATACCATAATAGATTATGAATTTGCATGACTGACTTTAATGGCGTAAACAATTAGCTTTAAATAGCATACAAGAGAGTAAAGATAGCAGATAGTGAGAAGGATGTTGTAACAACCCGTCTAACAATGCTATTCAACAAGAGTATAACTAGAGCTAATCAGAAACAAAAGGTGTCAACCACAGATATCCTTTAACATATATTTCGTGTTTCAACAAATAATTTTTAATTTTGTGTTCTATGCACGTACAAATATTAAATTTGTGTAACAAAAACATTCAGGGTGTGTTTGGTTGGCACATGGGAATCGGAATGGGAATGTGCATTAAATACTTGGTAATGGTAATGAGTTTTAGTGAAAGTATTTTGCATTTTTGGCAGTAGGGTGAAATGTGAATGATTATCAATAATGTTGTTTGGTTATGTATGATCCAATAATTGGAATAAAGATTTTAAAAATATAACACAAAATCAATATAATTGATTCTAACCATAACCGGTAATTGTCAAACAAGATCTTAGTTCAAAAGACTATTTCACACTAATTTATACTATTAATTTAAACTTATACAACACATAGTAAATTATCATGTATTATGCGACTAGTATTTTTTTATGCGCGATGCGCAAAAAAATAGGTGCCCAATATTAGTACATTATATTAAAATTTTAAATTTATTTAGATTTTAGATATTTAAATTATTCTAAATAATAATAATAATAATGTAAATCATTTTTATAAATTTGATATTTATATTTTAGGTAATAATTGACATATAACTCAAATATATAATGTGTATATATTATTATTAATGAAGAAGATAAGAAAATATATGGTGGATGCATGTGCATGGTAACAATAGTGAAAAAGATAACGGAAGTTATAACGGTAGGGGTATGTTTGTCCAAAAAATTTTAATGTACAACTTTTATAGCATAATGTACAAAAAAACTTAACGGTAAAAACGGACATAAATGAGGGGTATAACTTTTGTTCACACTTATTATGTTTTTAGATTAAATAAATGATCAATGAGAAATAAAATTATAAAGCTAAAAGAAAAGAACAATAAAAAATAATAAAATTCAATTAGTACAAGATAATGTTATTATTTTCTCAAAACTAGTTATAACGAAGTTAGGCTTCCCTTAAAAAAGGACCTAGGTTAGGTCATTAATTAATTAGTCCCAATTTACCCAACCTAGATTGGTCGTAATTGTAATACCATGGACCGGGGTTCATATAATAGTGTGAATCTTGATACAAAAATTCTTTACCTTCCGTTAACACATTTTGTACCTACTGTTAACCTGTACACAAATTATCAACTACAGGTACAGAATGTGTCAATTACAGATACAAAATTTGAAAGTTATTTTTGAATCATGGTCTACATTACAAGATAGACCCTGATCCATGATATAATTTGTGAATTAGTCCCCCATGACCGTCATCGAAGTGCCTCATTCCACAATAGACATATTCATATATTAAATAAATACAAATTTATTGTAAACAAAATTCAAAAACAAAGTTAAGAATTCCTAACTAAATAACAATCGAGTAATAACAGTGATGGTTTGGTACTATACAAAAAGCCGATGAAGTGTTTTGTTTAAAACATATTTTGATGTAAAGGGATTGTAATTTTTATGAATGTTAATTACCAAAATGAACTAAAAACAAAGGTTGACAATTTCACATTACCTAATTTTTAAAAAGGATGGACCATATACTCGTTTATTATTATTATTATTATTATTATTATTATTATTATTTTCTATACTCGAAACTAATCAATACAGATGTGGAAAAAATTATATATCAGGCCTTGAAATTACATATAACAAATTTTTTTAATAACCAAAAACTCACAGTTACTAGTTTAGAGTGTACAAGAAGAAAATCATACTTTGTAATCTAATTAGTCAGCAAAGAATCACTATGAAGTAAATCCGTTTAAGTTTTTCATTGTTGATCAAGTCAAATCAAGAAAGTTAATATGTTACTTCTATTGAGAGGAACAACTTTGTAACCTCGTTGTTACAAGTCAATAGTCTAAATAAACCTAACAACTTTTTTTTGTATGGATTAATGACGCCACATCATGAGGTATAAGTGATGTCAACATGGTCCATTCTCAAAATTGTCACTTATAAATACTTCACTTACTAATGATATAGTCACAGCATTCCCATTTCAACCCTCTTTTGTTCTCAACTACATATATACGATGGCTGCTTCTTCTTCAGTTCGTTTGTTTGCAACTGTCTCACTCTTGGTGATGCTCTTCATGGCCTCTGGTTTGCTCTCTCTCTCTTTCTCCAATTCATATATATATATATATATATATATATATATATTATCTTCTTTTTAACATGGTATATATGGGATACGGTCTAAATACATTTGAAAATACTTGACTATTCATCTGGAAACTCGATCTTCTCCAAATACTCGATCTAATTGTGCATGCAGGGATGGGAATAATGGCCGCGGGTCCGAGAATGTGCTCGTCGCGGAGCCAAACGTTCAAAGGGGTATGTATTTTTGCCAACGGCAACTGCAATACAGTTTGCAAGTCTGAGGGGTTTTCCAATGGGAGCTGCACCGGTTCCTACAACCCCATCTGCACCTGCAACAAGCCTTGCTGCTAATAACCAACATTGCTTGCTTCAACTTCAATTCCATCACTGTTATATATATATATATCTAAATAAATAAATGTCCCCCCCAAATAATATAATCCAAACATGCATGCATGTTGTTTGGATTTGGTTGTTATTACATATATATATGTGTCAACATGTTGTGTGTTTCGTTTTCTTGTCTCAAGTTATGCAATTTCTGTGTTTTCGTTCTAAGCTATTTTTATACATATATCAACTAAGCTCGTGATACCATAATAGATTATGAATTTGCATGACTGACTTTAGTGGCGTAAACAATTAGCTTTAAATAGCATACAAGAGAGTAAAGATAGCAGATAGTGAGAAGGATGTTGTAACAACCCGTCTAACAATGCTATTCAACAAGAGTATAACTAGAGCTAATCAGAAACAAAAGGTGTCAACCACAGATATCCTTTAACATATATATCGTGTTTCAACAAATAATTTTTAATTTTGTGTTCTATGCACGTACAAATATTAAATTTGTGTAACAAAAACATTCAGGGTGTGTTTGGTTGGCACATGGGAATCGGAATGGGAATGTGCATTAAATACTTGGTAATGGTAATGAGTTTTAGTGAAAGTATTTTGCATTTTTGGTAGTAGGGTGAAATGTGAATGATTATCAATAATGTTGTTTGGTTATGTATGATCCAATAATTGGAATAAAGATTTTAAAAATATAACACAAAATCAATATAATTGATTCTAATGTAGAGACATCCAAATCACCAATATGAACAAAAAATAAAAATAAAAATCTATAAACACTAATCAAAGGGATGAGAAGGAACAAGAGAATGAAAAGTGATGATACCCTTATTTTATTTAAGTATGAGTTTTTTAATTATAGAGGTATTTGAAACACATAATAGTGTTCTAAAAACCTACCAACCAAATAATACCAATGAGTTTGATACTCATTTCTTAGAGCTAAACTTGTCAACCAAAAACACCCTCAGTTTCTTCGAATACAGCGCTAGCTTAGTTTATTAACATAAATGAGAAAAAAATATAAAGTTTAGCTTGTACGTGTAGTTTACAATTACCTTAAAATTGATTCACTTTCTTAACTCGTGATATATATATATATATATATATATATATATATATATATATATATAATAGATTACCGTATGTATATAAATCAGGTTATATATGTTAGAATAATATTAATTATTATTATTATTCTATGGTTCATTATAATTTATTGTGGTTCATTATTAAATTATAAATAGATATTTAATTATGAGCCACAATAAATTATAATGAACCATAGAATAATAATAATAATTAATATTATTCTAACATTCTCCCACTTGACTCATAAATCATAATTTTAATAATGAACTTGTATTACATAATATGTATAGTATGAGCTAATTCTTCATTATATTGATCAGAACATAAGTCATCGTTAAGTTAGAAATTAATAAGTATCGTGGCGGTAATACGTCACTAATTTAACGTAGTCCCTTATATGTATCACAATATTAATTCCAAACTCAATATGATTCATAATGAACTTTTTCATGATGGTCCACGATAATGTCTTTGTCAAAGAAAAATCTTGTTTAACATAAAACATTCATGTATATATACTTCATAAACTAAACAGGATACTTAATACAGAAACGAAACTATATTGAGCTCTAAGTATCAAATATATGAAAACACAACCTTAACATAATGTTAGCAGTTCCCAATAACGGCCATTCTTTCAACATGCTAACGAACTACCTTTGGTGGCAATGCTTTAGTTAATGGGTCTGCAATCATTAATCTAGTGCTAATGTGTTTAATTGATACTCTTCGTTCCCGAACATCTTCTTTAACGGCAAGATACTTCAAATCAGTACGTTTAGCACCACTTGTACACTTGTCATTTTTTTAGAAAAGAAGATTGCTACGGCATTGTCACAATAAATTTTCAGTGGCTTGGCAATACTGTCGACAATTCCATGTCCCGAAATAAAATTCCGCAACCATAATCCATGATTTGTGGCCACAAAACATGCCACAAACTCCACATTCTAAATCTTTCTAGAACTTTGTTGATATATGCTTTCTGAGACAATCCTAACACTCATTGTGATCTTTTATTTCAAAGTTCTTAGAAAGAAATTGCTTGGTCTCATGCATTAAACCAAGATCACTAGTAGCAAGCAAAATGTCATCGACATACAGAATCAAAAATATAAATTTGCTCCCACTGACCTTAAGATATATATGTAACCCCCTAAAAACAAGCTATTTAAAAGCCTTAAACATGCAGATAACTGAGCTAAACAACAAACACAACGGAAGACTGAAAGATAACTAGATAAACATAGTCCAAAACATGGAGTATTATGCCACGTTCACCAAAAGGATGAACGCTATGGCAACATCTGCAATGTTTACATCTAAAGCCATAGCCTCAAAGTGCTACATCTAAACTGGCACACAGGCCACAAAACAAAGAGGGAGAAGCTATACTAGCAAGCACTAGACCGCGCACTCATCTAGACATCACCTGAAAGAACACAATAAAACATGGGACGACGCGCGGTCAGCGAATAATGCTGGTAACCCACCAATACTTGTGAAATAACATACATAGGTAAGATATAAGTTTGTAAAACCATTTTCGAAACGGAATATATATATATATAAGTCAAAAACCAAGAGGAATAGTCAACACAAGACTCAACACTCTCTCAACAAGGATACGGGAACACATCCCGAAACCACAACACAAAGGATAAAGACAAGACCGATGGCAACACATGCCCTTGTGAATACACACGTCACAAGAAGAGAACTCACAACAACGGCTACACAAGCTCTCGTGACATCACCCATCACGAGTTGATATGCCTTCCTTATGCCCGGTTCCAGCCTTATGGCTACCCCCAACCTTATTTCTTCTTCCAACCATTACCTCCAGGACCCCTGTACAACCAAGTCCAACGTTTTCCCTCCTGGGACCGTCGTCCCCCACCAACGACCACCAACGAGACCACCGATTTCATAGTACACGAGGGTACCGTACACACACACGGCAACACATGCCACCCAAGAATCACGTGAACCTTATACAAAGGTCACAACTCCATAATCACGTCACGGCTACCACGAGGACCGCTGCAATACCTTGGTGACTAGTGTCCCATACCACTAATCGTGCAATCCAGGTAAAGCCACGCACACATCACACCACAACAGGAATCAATTAACGGATCACAACGAATACATGAACCATACTCAATCAAGGAATGGGTCACATCCCAACAACATCAACGATGAATAACACAAGTTATCATCAACCAATCGGAAGGTACGAACAAAACACACGCTAGCATTTAAACACCGAACTAGCATGCTTATCAAACGGGTAAACCAAAGGTAGTTCCGAAGAACACACGAGACTCATCACTGTTCAACGAAACACAATGTTGAACACTTAGCACGATTCACGACACCAAAACCTACATGGATTCCTACCATATAGTTCTAGACATACAAAACATCAAGAAGACACTCAAATAGTTCCACAAAAGAACATCGGGAAGTCAAAAGACCAAATACCGAGTCAAAAAAATCACGAGGAAAAAATCCCGAACATACACCGAAGTGTACCCCGCGGGTGGGCCCACGGGTAGGCCCCTACCCGTGGTCCTGCCCGCGGGTACAAGCCTTCTCACAACATTTACCCCGCGGGTGGGCGGCGGGTGGGCCTCCTACCCGCCGTTCCGCCCGCGGGTACAAGCCTGTACCACAACAAAACACTTCGTGGATTTTCATCTCCAAACTCAAATTCAAGTCCAAAACATGCCAAAACTCACCAAATACAACAAAATGACTTGAATCAAATGAAATGCCAAGCAATGGCACAAAAGAACCCTAAACACAAGCTCTAGATATGCATTTTCACAAGATCATGCATCAACACTCACATTTCATAGCAAAACACATGTAGAATCTAAGAAATCACATAGAGGTAAGCAAAATTGGTTTTGTAGAGCGTGGGTTACCTCTTGTAGACTAAAGACTTCACTTTAGACCTCAACAAGCTCCTCTCAAGGCTCACCTTCCAAACCCACTTCAAGAACATACCAAAAGATCATAAAGATCCTATCTTTAAGAAAAGACACCTTAGATAAAACCAAAAACACAAGATGAACTTAGATCTTACCCTCCTAGATGCCCAAATATAAGAAAGGTTGTGTAACACCCCAAAATTTTGAAACTTTTAAATCTTATATGATAAAGGTAAATCCTCATTAAATTCCGAAAGTAAACATATGAGTACGGGGTGCTATGCCACACCTGAGCTAGAGAACTCAGGTGCACAGGCAAACTAACTAAAATCCTCAAAGTAATGTCAGTACATAAGCACGGCATGCAGGCCGAAAAAGGAAACTAGCTACTCTACGCTTCAGATCTCTAGCGCGCTCCGGTGTCTACTCATCTGTGCCTGAAAGCCAAATATATCTGTTTAGCGAGAGATGCTGGTAACCCACTCCAACGAGTTGAAATACATTATAGGTAGATATATATAGATATACGAAAATCATTTTGAAGCAGGAAGATATATACTTAAGAGACTCTAGCATTAAAACCAGGAATAGACAAAGCAAAATGGGGACAAGCACATTAATCAAGGATAATCAGTTAAGTAGAATTAACATCATAAGGAATACGCATCTTAAGGTCACAGATTACTTTTCAATTCAAACACATCATCATTCAAGCATCATTCGTATCACATAATCATTGATGGCGCCACGGGACCAATCGCATGCCCCGAACATGAGGGTTAATGCTTATAGCATGAACACGGCCCCGTAGCACCCTACCTCAGTACCGCGGTATGAGGGGAGTTGATCGCAACCAACCCTTTGTGAACCGCTGACGAACTCAACGTCGGACCACGATCCGACACACCGCTGATGCACCTAGTTGATGGACCGTGATCTCCTTTACAAGGGGGACTTACGACCCTACACACCGTCGATGCACACAGTCGGTGGACCATAGCGGATCAAGCCTGACTTACCGCTGAGCTATACTCAGTCGGTGGACGAAGATCCTCTGAGACTATGGCCCTACACACCGCTGTCCCACCATTCGGTCGATCGCAGCGAGCCGTAGCCCTACACACCGCCTGATTACTCAGGTCGGTATACTACAGCCTTCCTCGAC